AGTTTTATGAATTTTTCCAAAATCCAACTGATTATTACATTGTTATGTATTGCATAATTTATTCTTTCCCCACTAATTTAAAATATTACCTTCAGTTTATTTTTAAACTCCCATATATAGGTGATTCTATTATACTGATCTAATTTTGTTTCAGAATTACACTTTATTGTTTTACAGTTTGTTGTAATATATGGTGAATTTTCAAATTCCAAAAAATAAAGTCATTATAATTACTTTAATTCATAGATTGATTTGACATGTTTATAATATTACATTTTCCCATCTAGAAATGTGTGTCTCCATTTATCACAATTTTCCTTTTTGTTCAATAGTACAGCTAGGCCTTGCACATCTCCTGTTAATTTTATATTTAGGTGTTCAATGCAATTATAGATGTGATCTTTCCTTTACTTGGCTCTTCCCTTGTCAATGTATCTAATTCTCATCTACTTCTGATCTTAGCTTTTTGTATTCTATTTATTTTTTCTAAACCCGCTTAAATCCTTTCTAGAACATGTGGCATATAAATAGGTTTTTGAGAAGATTTTTACAATGTTACAACATCCATATTTTATTGAAAATGTTAATGTGGAACAAGAAGCCGATTTTTACTCTAAGGAAATAACAGTATTTACAATGGTTGGCTCTCCACTGATCCTTTCTTTTTTCTTTGTAAGTTTGCTTCTTAGACTGGAGTCTGGTTTCAAGTCTTGGATATGAAAAGATCACTTCTTGGGGAAAAGAAACAAAATAAAACTATCCTGAACTAGCCTTTTAGTTACAGTGGTTTGCCTGCTGTGTCCTGGTGTTCTGGTCATTAAAAGTACATGGAATGATTTTTCAGTTCTAAAATGTTATACTTCGTTACACAACAGCTGCTTGGGTTTACCTGCTTAGGTTGTGCCAAATCCGTGCAGTGCGACTGTGTTGAGATGAATTCCTCCCAAGATTGTAGCTGTGCAGTTCGGTGAGTGGTGATGTCTGACACTGGGAAACAAGCTCTGTAGGAGAAGCAGGATTGAGGGGGAAGATCCTGGACTTGTTTGGGGTACAGGCGAGATATCCACACGTCTGGAACTCAGAGGTCTAGATGGGAGATTACAGCTGGTAATTGTTGGCATACTGATGGTAATCAAAGCCATGGGTATGGGTGAATTTATACAGAGAAAAAAATGTAAAGAGAGAGTTCCTAGGCCCAAACCCTACCCTAAATCAGTATTTAAAGGTCAGGTCTAAGAGGAGGAATCAGTAAAGGAGAATGAAAAGTAACAAAGTAGAGAAAAAAGATGGAGAGAAGGCATAGAGGCAGTTTATGTAATACAAGGTGACTATGTGTCACAAGGCAATATTTGATTACTCATTAGATAATAAGAACTACTTAATGAGTTTCTAGATGCCAGGTGCTTTATTTACTTATTATTTCAACCAGCAAAATGAAGGTATTATCTACAAATGAGAAGACTGAGATATAAAGAGATTCCTGTAACATGAAATAAGTTAGGACTTGAGCTGGAACTCAAACCTGGATCTGTTTGATGCCACGTGCATGCCTTTTCAACTCAGCCACATTCTATCTCAATGGTTCAGTGCTTTGGAAAGTAAATACAATGTTTTGGATGGAATTTCTTATTTTCTCTTGATCTAAAAGCCTTCTGGAATCACATCTGTTATATCAAATTTGTGAAGTTAGGGCAGTTATTCTCAAATTGTAGGAGGACCCTTGGGGGCTCTTAGGTCTTTTCAGTGGGGCCTCAAGGCCAAATCTCTTTCCATAATAGCAGATACCATTTGGATTTTTCATGGTGTTGACATTTGCACTACTGGTTACAAAAGCCCTGGGAAGTGAAATCTCTGGAAACTTACTCCACATAAGGCGGTAGCAACAAACTTTCATAGTGGTCATTGTATTTCTCACTGACACAAATTGGTGATAGGAAGAAACCCCCTCAGTTTCACTTAGGAATGCCCTTGATGAAGCAGTAAAACTTACTAATGTAGTCAAATACTGACCTAAGAGTACTTGCATTCTGGCTGATGCAGTAGAAAGTTCTCATTAAGCCCTTCTGCTGCGCAGTGATGTTTGATAGTTGTTTTGAGGAAAACACTTGTGCGGTCATGTGAACTGAGAGATGAACCAGCCATTTTCTTCATGAAACACCTGTTTTACTTGAAAGACTGAAAAACAAATGCGGCTTTCAGACTTGGACATTTGGAAGACATTTTGTTTGGAAACGAGCAAAGTGAGCCTGGAAATTTCAAGCCAAACTGTCAGCATTTCTTGCCAGTGATAAAATTTGAGCTTTCAAGCAAAAATTAGAATTTCAGAAAACTTGTATCTACTGTCATGAGCTGGGCAGCTTACTGACACTGAAAGAGTTTTCTGATGATAGATATTGGTAGTGATGTTAACAAATGTGATTTTTTGGGGGGATATTGTATGATGTTATATGCCAACATTTAGAAGGTGTGCATAACTCAGTAAACGAATAATTTTCAGATGTCTGGTGCATGATGTATAAACCGTACATGAATAAAAGATCCTTTGAGTGAGAGATAGACCAATGGATTTCAATGTAACAGAGTATGAAGAGTTAACTGATGTGGTTTCAGATTCTATATTGCAAGCAATCTTTATGAATTACCACTTGTTAAGCTTTTTTTTAAAAGATTTTATTTATCTTATTTTTTATATTATTTATCTTATTTATTATCTTTTTTTTTAAGATTTTATTTATTTATTTATTTATTTATTTATTTATTTATTTATCTACAGAGACACAGCAAGAGAGGGAACACAAGTAGGGGGAGTGGGAGAGGGAGAAGCAGGCCTCCCTCTGAGCAGGGAGCCCAACGTGGGGCTCGATCCCAGGACCCTAGGATCATGACCTGAGCTGAAGACAGATGCTCAATGACTGAGCCACCCAGGCGCCCCACCACTTGTTAAGCTTTAATATAGTATTAAAGAAGATTATCCCTGATTACTTGGAAATGCAATTAAAATAATTTCTCATTTTCCAACTACATATCTGTGCATGACCAGATTTTTTTTCCATATACTTCATCTGAAACCCTGTGTAGGAACAGTTTGAATGCAGAAGCAGAGATGAGAATCCAGCTGTCTTTCATTAAGCCAGATATTAAAGAAATTTGCAAAAGTGTTAAAATGATGCTACTCTTCTTAGTTATTTCTATAAAATATGTTATTTACATTAGCATGCTATGACTTTATTATTGTTGTTCTAAAATTTAATAAATAATTTAAAAATTTCTCAATTTTAATATGGAAAATCTTGCAAAAACAAAAACTCTTTGGTGTCTTCAATAATTTAAAGAGTGTAAAGTGGTCTTAAGGCCAAAACTTTTGAGATCCACTGGCCCATATTTATAGAAGTAGTACAATAAAGTGGGTAAGAGGCTCTGTTCAGGATTTTTTTTTCCCCCCAGTAAATTATCTCTCTGTTTTTCAGAATGAATATATTCTATTGAACTGTCTTCAAGTTCACTGATTCTATCCTTTGTCATCTCCATTCTTCTACTGAGCCTACTCAACAAGTTTTTCATTTTGCCCATTGAACTTTCCAGTTCTATAATTCCCTTTTAGTTTGTTTAAAAAACTTTTATTTTTCTGAGATTTTTTCATTTGTTTCAAGTGAATTTGTGAATGGTTGCTAAAGTATTTTTGACATCTCTTTTTAAAATCCTTGTCACATAATTCCAGCATCTGATTCACCTCCATATCTGTGCTTGTTGATTGTCTTTCTCTGATTCTTGGTGTGGTGGGTGATTTTTTTATTGTATACTGGGTATTTTGATTTATTGATTGTCTTTTCCTGTTTATTGTATCCTGGACATTTTGGTTCTTATGTTAGGAGACTCTTGATCCTATCTGAATCTACTTTGACAGGCCTGTCACCATGTTTAGATTTAGCATGGAGGTTCTGGTCTACTTTGTGGGCTTTAGTTCCAATGGCAGCTTAGTTTCATGAGCCCTTGCAATGTTATTCTGGTCTGCTTCGTTTTTCTGATGCTGCTAAGTCTCCTGCTCAGTTCCAGCTGGTGCCACCTACAAAGTGGAAGGTACTTCCCAGTATGCCTGTTCTCACTGAGTGAACTTCTGGGGGGAGGGGGGCATGGGGGACAAGACTCTAGGCCTGGTGACACCACTGGTTGAAAGGCAGGAAGACACTGCTTTGGTGCCTGGTTGTGGAGTGGGGTCTGGGATATCCCAGGACTTCATTGCTGCCCCTTTTGCCTGTGGATGAGGCTGCCCACCAATGGCTTGGTTGTGGAATGGGGACTGAGTGATCCTAGGACTTCCCTGTGGCTACTGTAGACAGATTAGATGGCCCCCTGGGGCCCTAGCTGAGGGTCTTGAGGAGGCCTGGGTCCTTGTTGCTAGGCTGCTGCAGGCAGATCAGATTACTGCTGGGGCCCAATTTTGCAGGGGGACTGGGACAGCCCAGGGCTTCCTTGCACTGGGGGATCAGACTGCCTAAGGAGCCCCAGTTGTGGAGCAGGGCTTCGGACTCCCCATTAGTTCTTTATCTGACTTCTCTTTGCCTGGTCCTTTGGCCACAGAAAGCAAGCTTTGCTGTTGCTTGGTTTTTGTTGTCTATGCTTTTTGATGATTCCAGGCTGCAAGTCGCTCTGGTTTCCAGTTTAGGGGTATATGGGAGGTAAAAAGAAAACCCAGGGAACTCACCACACTATCATTGCTCAAGTCCTGAGAACTCTAGCCAGTTTACTCTCTACCCAACCTTCAATTATTTTAGCATTGCCTGTTGAATAATTTCAAGGATATGTACCTGTATTTAGAGGAAGGACTAGGGAAAAGTGAGGTCACACAGTTTTGTTTTAAAATCAGACATCACTGTGTATATTTTATGCCGAGAAATTAAAACAATTAAAAAACAAATGAAAAAAATTATGGCAAAGTAGATTAGCTTTTGACATTGGTTGTCATCCTAAGTGTTTTATAACATGTTTGCTTATTTTTATAGGAATTATGTTGGAGTATGAGAAGAGTGGAGAGTTGAAAACCAAATCCATAGATTTGCTCAACCTCAGTTCCAGGTAAAATAGCTACTCAATGCAACCTGGGTTTCATAACCAGATTTTCTACTGAAAGACGCTGACACAGGGTGATGTGTGGATGAGCTGCATGAACTCAGACAATACTTTGCTAAAACAGTGTCCTGTGCTGTATTATTTCCGGCTTGCTTCAGTGAGTTCTACTTGAGCATCTTGCTGAGTGAGGGGGAGATGGGAAAAGGATCATCAGTCTGCTGTGTTGTTTTTTTTTTTTGTCCTAAATAGACCAGTTATTGTTGTTGTTGTTTTTAATCTTTTAGTTTAGAATAGTTTTAGAAAGTTGTGAAGATAGGAGTTCTCCCATACCCCATGCCCTGCATCCCCCATTATTAATATCGTAGATTCGTGTGGTACATTGGTCCTAATTAGTGAACAGGTACTGATAAATTCTTACTAACTAAAGACCATATCTTATTCAATTTTTTCTTGTTTTTTTGCCTAATTATCTTTTTCTCTTCCAAGATACCACACTACATTTCATTATCCAGTCTCCTCAGGGTCCTCGTGGTGAAGACGGTCTCTCAGACTTCCCTTCTTTTTGATGACCTTAACATTTTTGAGGAATACTGGTTACTGAAATTTTAAGCATACTACTAAGCCTGTTACTTTCCTGGTAGATAAACATCACACAGGGCTGACTGCATTCCATCCTCCTCATTGATTGTCATGGGGCACAGTTAAGAAATCCTCTTGTGAGATCATACTGCCCAGAATTCATTCCCTTTAGGGAATCCTATGCAAAACTCAAAAAACAAAACAAAAACAAAAACAAACAAACCAGAAAGAAATCCTAGGCAAAACTCCACTTCGAGAGACAGAATCAGATTAGTGATTATCCTGCAGAAGCCCATGTTCAGATAAGGTAAAGATATTTTGAGTGGGAGAAAATTTTAAATAGGACAAAAATTCCACGATACGTGTTTCAGGGTTGTTGATCCAGTGAAATAAGTGATTTTCCATGGTAACTGTCCTTCTCCTTTGTCATGATTATCGGGGAGGGGAACAAAGGGACATCTCACATAAACGTAGTTAAATAGTAAATGAGCTGCTCTCTAATTTTAAAATGAGGCCCAGCAGCCTCATGGCTCCTCAGAGCTGTGGCCACTCGAGGGCTCTGGAACTTGTCTGAGGGTGAGGACAAGGTGTGGCTTGGATGGTGATGGTTTACGTTGAGTCCTCTTCTTGTTCCAAGTGACCACACAGAAGGTACTCAATCGTTTATTTTTTAATCAAAGAATAAATGGTGGCAAAAATAATGGCATTGAATTTCATCTACAAGTCATTGTTTTATCTATTTTCAGGTAAGACAAGGTCTAAGATCAAGTCAAGATTTCGGTTATTTTTTTAACGGGCACGTATTACTGATTATGCCAGCAGGTAGAAAGTTCCTCTGTTAGACATTCATTTACTGAGTCCGTAATGATGTTATTTGCACCTTCTACATGGAAAGCTCTAGTTTAGAGTCAATGAGAGGCTATAAAGAATCTTGATCCCTACCTCAGTGACTGTGTTGTCTAGTTTGAGAAACAACCTGTACCAGACAGAACATCATATGAGTGACACAGATTAATGTTTATATGAGAGAATAACTTCCAGCTAGAAAGGCAGAAAAACACAGATTTTATATTTTAGGAAGTGTAGATCCTTAGGATGCTGTAGTCATGCTATGTAGTATATAAATGTCAAGTAAAAAAAAAAGTATGGATGTTACTTTTGGTTCTGCTCAAGAATCTGGAAGAATTCTGCATATAAAAACATTTGCATGATATGAGACATACTGGAGTTACTGTATTGGAAACGGGCAATTAGAATACCACAGGGTTGGGATGTACAGATTAAATATCTGGTGAATTTAGATCTTGCTGGGAAATCTGTTTTGATTTATAACAGTGGTTGGAAACCCTTCCAAGAGGCATTATCATCTTCTTAATTCTTAGGAAACTTGTAAGTCCTTTGACAACTGACTCTCTTGGAATTTATCAAAGTCATCATTATAAACTGTCTCTGGTTCATTTCTGTTCTAGATATTCATTCCTATTCCAATAGATTGTATTTCTTGAGAGCTGGAACTGTATCTTTTACCCTCCCAGGACCTAAGCAACAGTAGGGTAAATGTTAGTGGGATGAATGGACTTCTAGCTCAGTGCCTTATAAGGACTGGAGCTCAGGAACTGTTTATTTAGAAGAGGAGAGGCATGCTTACCAGAGTTTGCATTTCTGGGAAGCAGCTGTTGAGACAGAGATAGGAGAGGTAGGTGGGAGACAGGTTATTGAGAAGTGACATCTGTGACAGGAAGCAAAGCAGAGTTCGGCATGAAGAGCCATTGACCATGATGATGCAGATGTGACAAGTCTCTGCCAGCCCACAGGGAGCTCTCCATAAAGCTCGCTGGTGAGAGTTCCTCTCGGGGCAGAAATGGCCAGGATCTTGCACTGTGCACTTGTTCAGGCCTGGGCTGAGGGCTACTGGAGGAGGGCCTGCCCGTGGCTCGGGGATCTGATGCTGAGGTGGATCCTTAAGGAGCTGCTGCTGGAGGCTGTCAGCTGCCTAGGCAACCCCACCCCCCATCCCAGCGGGGCCAAGAGTCTATTTTTGCGGGAGGGGATGGGCAGTGCATCTTCGATACACGTTTGTGATGTGTTTTGCGAAATGACCTATTTTGGCTGCTTTGTGGCTTATAGACATTATTCTTTTTCTTGAACAATTATTATTCTGGACTAGCAAAATTGATCAGTATTGCTATAGATTATTTGAGTATTGGGGGAAACCTTGACTCTGTACTTTTCAGACTAGCTTTTTTTGGGGGGGGAAATGATGTTATAGTCCATATGAAATATTAATCATCATCATTCTTTGAATGTCCATTTTTGGTTAGGTACTGAATTTTTAAAACTTAACCTTTTCAAACCTCAGTTTCTTCATCTCTGAAGTAATTATGATAAAAGCATTAAATTGGTGGGTTGTTACAGGATTAAACAAGAGAGCGTATATAAGATTCAAAGTATAGTGGTACCAGGAACATTCTGTATATGTTCATTAAAGAGACAAAAGCAACAGGAAGAAAATAAAGAGCTCATGTTCAGAACCAGTATGCACTTGGCCTTCTCAGGTGAGGAAATCAGAATCCTTGCACACCTTCCATGGGAGAAGTCTCGGTTTATGACGGTGCATTCGGAAGAACCCGAACCACTTTCATGCAGGCTCGATTTCTTCATTGATTTGTATTTTTCCCCAGAAATCTCTTAGTAAAGCTGATGGCATTTTGACATTTTATAGATGCCCTTCATAACATAATGCAATTCTTCATGCATTGCATGTGTATGCAAATTCTGGCATAGAAAAAAGTAACTTTTTTTTTTGTGAATTTCAGCACTGATGTCAATGTCTTAGTAGAAGAGATACAGAAAGCAGAGCCTCTAATCACAGCTTCACGATCAGATCAAGTAAAGCTTTTAATACAGAGATTACAAGATAAACTCAGACAGCACAGTAACCACAAATTTTATCTTTTTAAGGTAATGCATGTATTAAAAAAAACCTAGAACTTCAGTGAATTAGTTGTTTCCTATCAATCTGAGACAAAATACAGATTATATTTTCTCTTTACCTCTGTGCCTCACATATATTTGCTGAGACTAAGTCTCAACAAGTACCTGTTTATTGACTGAATAAAATTCTAACATTTATTTCTTGAGGAGTTAAAGAGAGATTTGTAGTAAGTTTGGCTGTTCTTTACAATGTTAAATTTAAGGGGTGACCATTAAGGTAGTTTTAAGTTATTGAAAACTTAAAATTCTTTTCAGTTGGAGTAATATTAAGAAGTTGTAGTTCATGGTATATCAATATTTAATATTTTCTGCTTCCAGGTGAACTAAACTATATTTCAGTAAATTATTTATTGACATAACTTATATAATAATTTTAATGCAGTATAAATGTACCTATTTTTCTCTATAGCTTTTGCTATAAGTAAAAATATCACAAATATTGTCACTTATTCAGGACAGTTGTATTTTTTCTTAATTATTTAACAATATTTAGTAGTTTATTCTAGTATTGCTCCATATTACACTGATTTTCTCTTTATGATTTAAATAAAATTATAAGAAAATGTAATTGTTATTTATATACTTGACATATTCTGATACAAGATATTCAATCTTTTGTAGTCATCCCTTCAATGTATTATTGAATGAAGAAATTATTCTTGTGATATCTCTTTGTTCCAGCAGGTGGCACTATTTAACTTCAAATATGAGCTCTGTACATCGCCTAACCTTATAATTTATCCTCCAAAGGGAACATTTTTGATAGTGAAAGGGGACACTATTAATAATTATATTCCTGCAGTAGAAATAACTGAGACTGTCCCAGCCTTGCCACTCTATCTATAAACAGACTATCCAATTTATGTATGTTCATTCGATAAATATTTAGCATCCACCATGTGTTTGATAATGTAGAAAGATAAGATATACTCTGACTCTAGAGGAGCTTTAAGATTCCAAAAGTAATAACTAATTGTAAAATCTATATTTAAAACATATTTGGTATATTTCCTCTATATACTATTCATGCATATGTACAAAACCTTGTGTAGTACTTAAAAGAAAATATTATAAATTAGTGCTATTTGATATCTTATTTAATAGCAGTAATTTATCTTAAAAGCAAATTCATGGAAAACACAGATCTAATTATGTTTTTGCAATTATTTGTAACTATCAAATGTCTTATTGGTCTTAATGGTAGAAGGCACAATGTATTTTTTTTTCATTTGTTCAGATAGTGACTATTGTCCATTTATTTATAATTAAGACAAACTTGAATGTCTTCATTAGTTTGAAGTTAAAATTAATGAGTTAAACTTAATTTTTTCAGCTTAAAACAAATTGTGTTTTCTTTCATTGAAGGTTCTCAGAGCACATATACTGCCATTGACTAATGTTGCACTTAATAAATCAGGCTCATGGTAAGGTTCTCAAATTTATTATTTAAAATTTTAAATTTTAATTTATTTAAAGATTTTATTTATTTGAGAGAGAGAGAGAGAGTGAGCGAGAGAGAGAGAGCACGAGCAGGGCAGGAGTGGGGAGGGGCAGAAGGAGAGGGATGAGCAGACTCTTCCCAGAGTGGGGAGCCTGATGCAGGGATCAGTCCTAGGACCCCAGGATAATTACCTGAGCCAAAGGCAGGTGCTTAACCAACTGAGCCACCCAGGTGCCCCTAAAATTTTAAAATTTTTAAATGAAAAAAATTTATTATTAGACTTTATATTTTATAGTGGTTTTAGGTTTATAGCAGAATTAAGCAGAAGGTACAGAGATTTGCCATGTACACCTGGTCCCCATACACCCTCAGATTCCCTCTTTGATGGCCCTACATTGACAAATACGTCATTATCACTCAAAGTTCGTAGTTTACATTAGGGGTCACTCTTACTTTCGTACATTCTAGGGGTTGACAAATGTGTAATGACAGGGATCCACTATTAAGACATCACACAGAGCAGTTTCTCTGCCCTGAGAATCCTCTGTGCTCCACCTCTTTATATCTATATTTCCATTTCTATTCTTTATTTCTAATTTTTAACAACCAAGGAATAAAAATTTCTTTTTTAAAATTAAACTTATATATATTTACAGTGACATGATTGGAATACACAGTAAATGTTACAGTTGAGCTAATTAACATTTTACCTCCTCACAGTTACCATTTCTGTGTGAAGAAAGCACTTGAAATGTATTCTTTCAGCATATTTCCAGTATTCAATCCAGTATTATTAACTACAGTCATTGTGCCTCTGCATTGTGTCTCTAGACCTACTCATCCCGCATAACTGCAATGTCATACTCCTTGACCAACGTCTCTCCATTTCTCCCACTCCCCAGTCCCTGGTGACTACTGTTCTCCTCTCTGCTTCTATGAATTTGACTTTCTTTTTTTTTTAGATTCCACATGTAAGTGAGATCAGACAATATTTGTCTTTCTGTGGCTGGATTATTTCACTTAGCATAATGTCCTCCAGGTTCATTCACCTTGTTGCAAATGGCAGCATTTCCTTCTTTCTCATGGCTGAATAATATTCCATTCTTTCCTTGATAGACATTTATGTTGTTTCCATATCTTGGCTACTGTGAACAATGCTGCAAAGAACATGGGAGTGCACATATCTCTATGAGATTCTGATTTCATTTTTTGGATATGCACCCAGAAGTGAGATTGCTGGATCATATGGTAGTTCTATTTTTAATTTTTTTTGGAACCACCATCCTGTCTTCCATCATGTCTGTACCAATTTACATCCCTGAAGAAGCTAAGAGGAAATGCCTAAAGAAGAATCAAAGACACACTGCCTTGTCAACGCTTTTGTTTATTTGAGTTTCAATGTCAGGATTTGTGCTCAACTTTTATCATTCCCACTTGACATAGAGACTGACTTTCTAATTTTGTGCATTTTTTTTTCTGTGTTGGGGAAGTATCTTTCCTAGTGGAATAGTTAAGGAATAACTAAGATACTATTATTTTACTTTAAAATTTGAGAGGCCAACATACTAATTATTCCTGTAGTAGAATAGTCATGTAAGAGGATTGCAAATCTGAAGCAAATATTCATTGAACACTTACTAGTGTGCCAGTCATGTTCCAGGTTTACAATGGCGGTAAACCAGATGGGGGGAAGAACTAGCACGTATAATAAAGGAAAGCAAAAACGAATTCTGCAGAGACTAGCAAAGAGGTCAATGTGGCGGCACAGGGTGTGCTTTGGGGCAAAGTTGAAATCCCAGAGACAGCCAGTGCTGCTGGCCTTGTGGGCCATGAGCAGAAGTTTGGATCTTCCTCCAGATTGCTAGGAAGCCATCTAAGGAAGGTTAAAAAATAACTCCAATTTCAGGGTGGAAAATAGACTTATAGGGACCATGTGTGAGCCAAGACTCATAGAAGATGGTTTCATTTGTTGAGGCAAGTGATGGAGGCTGATGAGAAGTGGCCACCCTAGGGCTGTATTTTGAGATTGAGCTAACAGAATTTACTAATAGGTTGTGTGTGGTATGTGACGGAAAGAGAGGAGGGACGGTGCTAAGATTTTATGGTCTGACCAATGGGAAGAATGATGCTGTTCATCGAGATATGTTAGAGTTTCAGAAAATGTTACTGATTAATGCTTTAATTATTAATTATTTATATTATAAGAATGATTATTGGCAGTATTACTCTATTTTATTTAGTGACTCCTTTTTGGGTTAGGGATAAATTGGAAAGTTTCTAATCAAAGGATTTAGATATTCCCAATTTAACTGTTCTGCATCCACAGTTTCCATTGTAAAAAGCAAGATAAATGGGCTTACAATCTTGAGAGTAAAAAAAAAATGAGGTCTTTATTAACACACTGCTATTGTCACTTTGTGATTCATATATATTCCTTGTGTTAGCTTTATCACAGGAAGCTATGATCGGACATGTAAAGTCTGGGACACTGCATCTGGAGAGGAGCTTCACACCCTGGAGGGCCACAGGAATGTGGTCTATGCCATAGCATTCAACAATCCTTACGGGTATGAAGACATAATCCATTAATTTGTTTATTCTTTTCTCCCTCTGTTTACTGGAGGAGGAAAGGAAAAAAAAGAACTAAAATTTGTCAAGTGCCTGGTGTGTGCTTTGAAAGCCTTCTAAATGCCTTCCTCAGTGCTTAAAGGAGTTTTGGGACAGGTATTACTGTTCTCATATAAAGTATATAAAGTTCAAGTACCCTTCCTGGGATCACATAGTAGTAAAGAGGAGAGCGAGAGTCCAAGTCCAAGCAGAGCTGAATTCCTTCCCTTGGGGGTTCTCTGACAGGCAGTTCCTACTGATGTTTATAGCAATGGCTTCTGGAGACTGTGACATACCCACATAACATGGTTTACTTTGTTTAGAAGTTAATTTACAGTCTTTAGCAGGAAAAGTATGTATGGTAACATGCTACATTAACAGTACAAAATATAATCGCATTTTTCAACCAACCTCTAGTTAACTGATTCAACAGATTAAGTTAGTTCTCTAGCTCTCCTTCTGCTCCCTGAATGCTTGCAGCAACTGGGCCAGCCACTGGTATGCCCAGCTTCTTGTCCCACTGGTTAGGCATAAACTTACCAAGAGTTAGTTGTGTCTGTCCATCAGCCTGCTTATGTTGGTTGTGCTTTCAATTGTAATTATGGAATTTAATTGAGTATTGCTTAAACTAATGCAATATGAGTGTGAAAATAAAGCTGTTGTTTTTTTGTGAAAACATAGATAAGGCAAATCTTCGAAAAAATTATTACTAAATGAAGTTGTAGATGAGATCAATGTAAAAATTAGAAAACACACTGAAACATTTAGAAAACCTTTGTATTCAGATTGTTCTGCAAGTATGTTTATGTTCTCATTCCATTTTTAGGAAAAGAATTGGAAGTGGTAGAGGTTGGATATGATTTCTGGAAGACAAATAACGAGCTCTGGTTAGCCAAAGAAAAGGCCTTGGCCTTGCATATTTGAGTAAAAAAATTTTAATGTGTGTCTTTTTTCTTGATGGCTCACTTTGACTTTTTCCATTTGCCAAGCTGTTTCAATAAATATAGGTATTATGATGACTAGAACAAAACAGCAATGGTTTGCTGCAAGGAGAAAGATCCATGTGATTTCTCCTGGTAGAGACTTTGAGGATGATATGGGGCTCAAGCAGAAGCGTGGAAGATGGAAGACAGAGGGAAGGGGAGGACTCCTAGGTGAGGGCACCCTGTAGCTTCGGAGGGTAGGTGGGACTTCATCTGGCTCACCAGCACCCCCAGCTCTCTAGTGGACATTTCGTGGTGAGAAGCAAAAGAGGGCAAGATCAGAACATTCTGTATAGTTTGAACTCTGTTCTGGAGAACCGAGTTGTGATGAAAGTCTCAGTGAAAGTGCTGTTTCAGGAGGGCTGTTCTGGCAGAGACAAGGGGCCAGAGGGTTTGGAGTGGGCTGAAACAGGAGGCAAGGAGATTAGTTGGAGGCAGATAAAGTGATAGATTCAGGAGAAGATGAAAGCAGTGTAGGATAGTGGTAGGAGCAATAAAGGGAATTTTATAAAAATTTGATGCACTTAGAGTTGAAATTTTATACCATAAATATTAAAAACTTGATATGTAGGTTGCTAATATCATTACATCACTTTAAAATGTAACACACTTTTAAAACACAGTAATTGTGATGGCACAAACTTAATTGGTACATTAAAATGATTAAATATTCTCCAGTTGCATTACCAAAAATTTAACTGTGATGTATGCAGTTTTACATTGTAGACAATGATAATTTTTATAATACCTTATCGCACCAACCTGTGGGAGAGAAAGATTTTACTGACATTATAAATGATAATGTTTTACTTCTAGTATAATTTCTACTTTAATTGCAATGTTATTTAAAGGACTTTAAAAGTATATTCTTAAAATATAAAAAAAAATAAAAGTATATACTTTATAATATAATACCATATCCTATAAAGTCTACTTAAAAGATATGCTATTTTTGCATGCCTATCTGAGAACATAGTTTTTTGGGGGGATAAAGAGGTAAAAAATGCTTCATCTTTTGGCCCTTTTATTGGATTCTACCAAGACCCCCTGATGAAAAACTTGCTTGTCCAATTACATAGTCTGATGACTTATGTATGGATTAAAGCAGCATTTTCCATGGCATTTTGGGGCATTGGGGTTTCAGCAGAATAAGTTCAAGATAGCCACCAAAGAATGAGAGGGAATGTGTGTGTGTGTGTGTGTGTGTGTGAAAGAGAGAGAGAGAAATAGAGGAGAGGGAGAGGGAGAGAGAGAGAGATGAACTTCAGCCAGTTTAGTGTTTGTGTGTTCTATACATTAGGTCAGGAGTAAGCTTTGATTCAATAAAGTAATTCTAAAAAAAATATGTAATCAGTATTATCTTTTATCATGTAGTGGCATATGGATATACAGAGCAGTGTGTGATCAAACAGAAATTAATTGAGAAACAACAGCAACTTGAGACAATATGTTTGAGGGGCAGGAGGGATGGGAAATGGAAGGAAGGAGTAAATAAAGAGCACACAAGGCTCTCAGCATGTCTGAGCAGAAGGTGGCGGACATCAGCAGCTGATGAGGAATGCCCGGACTGGATGGAGAGAGAGCCAGTGCAGACTCTGGGCTGATAACCAGTCTTGAGTGTTAGGAAGCTCTAGGTGGGTTGGGTGGGTATTCTCCAAAACAAACTGTCCCTGGAGCATGGACAGAAAGGACCTCACTCCCTTTAGTATCAGAGACCACAGAAACAGTATGTGGGTGGCTTGAGAACAAAGGAGAGATACAGGGCATCAGGGTTAGTTTGGACAAAATATCAATTCTGCAACTGTACCAAGCATATAGAATTTGCTTCATGATATGTATTTGGGATCTTAAGACCTTTCACACTTTTGAACAATGAACTTGCACTGTAATTGATGACCCAGTTGGGTGAACACTTTGATGATTTGCTGTAAAAGACAGGGGTCAACGGTAAAGGAAAAGCTTTAGTTTCATGGTCAAAGGTTAAATAGGCCAACCTACTCTAATCTGTTGACCCTAACTCTGCTCTACGGTGTACACTGGAAGCCTCTTGTTTGAAAGGGACTGGTCTTTACCATATGTCCTCTCTAGACCCTCCCTCTTGTTCAAGGACCTTACAATTAGAGTAATATTGGCATTATTTTCCCAAGGAGACACTAAGTTCTCAAAACCTTATCTAGCCATATGGTTAATTGGATTTATATCTTTTCATTCTTCTTTTAAATTCAACATTATCCTAGACCTACTAATAGAATTTTTCTGTGTCCTTGCAGCTCAGACATTATTCATTTCCATTTGATAAGAATTTTCTAAACTGAATTTTGTACCATATTCATTGTGCTAATTTAAAAATTTATTGTAATCCCAAAGATAAATTTATACCTTTAATGTAAAATATTTAAAATTAAACATTTAAACTGATACTATTGAAAAAAATTAGACCTTAATTTTGTTGTCCACTGAAACAAATGTCAGATTGCTTATTGTTTTAAAACAAAGTAAATTCCTGAGTAGATAGACCGATGTATTAATATCTCTTGTCTTAATCAGTGTATCATACACTGTGCTTGAATTTGTTTTCAAAATCCACATTTTTTTTTTAAATCTTAGTGACAAAATTGCTACTGGGTCCTTTGATAAGACTTGTAAGCTATGGAGTGCAGAAACAGGAAAATGTTACCATACCTTTAGAGGTCATACAGCAGAAATAGTGAGTATATTTATTTTATTATATTTTTATGTTACTCTTTTCTTTTCCTTTCCTCTCCTTTCCTTTCCTTTCCTTTCTTTTCCTTTCCTTCCTTCCTTTCTTTTTCTCTTTCTTTTCTTTCTTTCTTTCTTTCTTTCTTTCTTTCTTTCTTTCTTTCTTTCTTTCCTTCCTTCCTTCCTTCCTTCCTTTTTTCTTTCTCTCTCTTTTTAATAGATTTTATTTTTTAGAGCAGTTTTAGATTCACAGCAAAACTGAGTGGAAGGTATAGTGATTTCCCAAATACTCCCTGCCCCGCCCCATACATGTCCCATTATCAACATCCCCCACCAAACCTGTACATTTGTTACAATTGATGGACCTACATCAATACATCATTATTATTTTTTTAGTAGTCCATTATACAAATAGTGGTTCTACCTTTATGATTAATTTTACAATTATATCCAGTATTTTTAGTTTTTATACATTTTATATGGAGGTATTAATGTAATTTATAAACTATTTGAGCTTTTATATCTTGCAGTTATTGTCAAAGACCCATATCCTACATTGACTAAGAAGACATGTAATATGATAAACATTTGAGTACAATATCCAACCTCACCTTTTCTTTTTCAGTGACTTTTTCTTTTCAGTGACTTGATGAGTCCTTTATTCTAAGAATAAGATTCTTAGAATAGCTTTTAAAGTAACTTTTTTATATCATGTGAAATATTTAGGCTGGTTGTTTTCTGGATATCATTAGAACTCAAATTTGCATAAATAGTTTGATACTCTAAATAGCTTTTGTTATTGGGAAGACCTTGCCCTTGGCCAATTCTGTGTTACATCTTATAACAATTAGTGAGATAATTGGCTCCCTTTGGGACAAATGATAGCTTTTAAAAATAACCAGCCTGCTTATTTTAGGAGTAAAATTTATTTATATTTATCTTTTGGATTCATGGTGTATTTATACAATAAGGGCTCATGCTATGTTTAATATTTTGCTAGCCACTGGGGGATACTGCATTGCAAAATTATAACTGACCCATTAAATGGCATTCAATATGCACAAACGACAGCTTTGTGCTAATATATAAGCCCTTTACATGTATTAGCTTAGTTGCACCTCATCACAACCCTAAGAGCTAGATATTTCCCCATTTTACAGTTGAAGATGCCAAGGTATATAGAGAGTAAGTAACTTGTCCAAAGTTGTAAGAAAGAGATAATCCTCATTCTCACACTCCCTTGGAATTTTGAAAAAGTTTTCTTTATATATAGTTCTGAGGAAGACTTAGATATTTTTCATAGACAACAACATCAATCCAATAAATATTTACTAAATATTGACTATGTGTCAAGCGCTGGACTGTGTGTTTGGCATACCAAATAGAATCACACGTGGTTCTTGTCCTGCAGGGATTTTGTAGTTCAGTGGAGGGAGTAGAGGCATCAGTAAATAAGTTCAGAGATGCGTGGTAGGGTGCTAGAAGTTCGTGGGGGGTTTAGTGTGGTCACCCTCCAAAGGAGGGGGGTGTTAAGGAAAGACTGTGCAGGTAGATAGCACATTCTCCCGGCAGCAAGAGCCGCACTGGTCAATGCCCAGAGGAAGTGTGCAACCGGGGTGGGTGCTTTCAGACTCAGATGACTCCATGTGGCCAGAGCAGCACTTGCCAACTTTCCCCCATGATGACACGCACAGATTAGGTCAATATGGCTGTGCAACACACTTGCGGCGGGGGGGCTGCCTGCTGTCCATGGTCAGAAGTGCTGGCCCAGGATCCCTGGTGCTGCCCCGCTGCCTGGGTTAAAGGCACCATGTCTTGTGCCCCTGCACCCCATTCAAAGCTGTATCACGTGGTGAGCGTGATCGAAGTGGGGAAGGCTGGCAAGGCCATAGTATTGATTCATAGGCTGTGCTAAGGAATTTGGACTTTATCCTGTGGATAACACCATGCTGTTGAGACTTTTTAGGTGGAAGGTAGCATGGTCATTTTTACTCTTTGGGAAGATCCTTCTTGTGGTAGCATGATGTAAGATCAGAAGTAGGGGCCAGCTGGCCATCTTGTTGCAGTCCAAGCAAAGACGACAGAGGCCTGCCGTGAGGCAGGTGAAGAGAATGTGAGAGAGGCTGGAGTGGAGGAGGAGGATGGGGTTACCAGGCAGATGTGAGGTGTGAAGGAGAAAAGGGGCCCCAGGGTGATTCCCTGACTTCAGACAATGGCAGGGCCATTCACCAGTTCTTCATATTACAAGGTAAGCCGGTTCGTGGTCATATGACTTGCATGTCTTAGATTGATCCAAGCTGCCTGTCTGATGTCCATACAGAGGCCCTTTGGGGCTGAACCAAGCACGAGGTCAGGGAAGGAGACGTGGGTGCCTGAGTCACGGGCATTGGGGTGGCTGTGGGAACCACTGAGAATTGCAATTTCTGAAAGGAAAAGGGTCAGTATGGGGAGAAGTGTGATGGCATCTTGAGCAGCTGGAGAAGAGAAGAAGTCTCCAAAAGATACAAAAAAGAAATAGGAGGTAAAAGAAGAAAAGCAGGGGGGTGGAGCAAGATGGCGGAGGAGTAGGAGACCTGGATTTTGTCTGGTCTCAGGAATTCAGCTGAATAGGGATCAAACCATTCTGAACACCTACGAACTCAACAGGAGATCGAAGAGAAGAATA